AGGCTTCTCCTCATAGCACTCTCTCCGTCTTCAGGGCTTACTCATGCTGCACCTTGTCTCAGATGCCCACCCAAGTACCTTGTCCTTGCCCACTCATCCTTCAGACTCAGCTCCTACAACCTGGGAAGTTTTACTGACTCCACCAGGCTGCTAAAATCTCTTCCTCTGTGTTTTCCAAAAGTCCTGGACCTAGAGTAAGCACAGCATTTATGACTCCAAACAGTAAATCCTGTTATCTCTACCTTGTGTCCTCAAAGGTCCCACAAAGAGCTGGCTCATGGTGAGCCCCAAGGAGAAAGCTTGTTGACTGACTGACTAGTTGAATGAATTGACAGCAATAAGGTGCAGTCGGATCCATCACTTCAGGCCACTGGGAGGTAAAAGCCAGAGTTATTTGAGATGTTTCTGTTCCTCGGTGCCTAACACAGTGCCTGGTGCACCTTATCAGTTAGTTAAATAAAATTGAGCCACATAATTCTTGCCTTGACCAAGCTTTATGTATTCAGCAATCATTTACTGATCACCTATATACACACATTTCATTAGGCACTGTGTGAACAATCAGGTAACAACAATCAGGACGCAACAATCAGGGAAGCCGAGGGTCTAGAGATGTCTAGAGTCTGGAGAGTTAATAGATTTATAACAGAGAAGAGCCAGAGGTGGCTGAGTGAAATGCAACAAGTCTTCGTAGAGGATATAGGAAAGATTTAGCTCTAGAGATGAGTTTTGAGGCAGATCTTAAATGATGAGTACATAATTATACACATTTTCCCAGCCTTTTAGCTGTGTGTGTGTGTGTGTGTGTGTGTGTGTGTGTGTTTTGGTTATCTGCTACTACTATCCAAAAAGTCCTCTGCTGTGAATATTTATGCAAATGTTAACTACAGACTAATTACACACTATAATCCCCTTGGTTACTTTCTCCCACAATGACCTTTTGCATGTCTCTAACATGTTAGCTGTCCTTCGGCTGACAGTTGTTTTAACATTCCACAGATCCTGGTTTACCATCCTGAACTGCTTCCTCTCCGGAGTCCTGTTAATCTCTCATGTTTATTATCATTTTTTTCAGCTGCAGTCATTGTGAACAGTAGTGTGTTTTCCCCCAAAGTAATAAATATTCAAGCATTTATGAAGTAATGAAGAAAATATTGCTGAGCATGAAGAGCTGATATAAACAGTGAGAAGCAAATGAATCACATTAAATCTATTAGCATTCTCACACCTTCCTAGAGGCTCAGTTACTTCAGACAAGGTAGCCAAAACTTGGAGTTTAGAGGTTTTGATAATGACTATAGGGTGTGAAGTAAAACAAAAGATACATTGGCTAGTTATGGCTCTAGATGTCAATTCTCTCGTATTAACAGCCCATAGGTAAGAATTCTTTTCATGTTTTTAATTTATCACTTGGAGACTGGGATAGTCTACTTACCCTGCACATAAGATACAGCCTGGGCAGTGTAACTGCCCCTAGGAAATGCAAGGCTCTCTGCACTGGGGACACCTAGTTTGAACTCACACCTAAACCTCTGACCTCAGACCTCCACTCAAACAGCCTCCTGGCTCAAAGACAGCTACTGCAATGATACAAGTATGTTTCCTTTTCCACCATTCCTCTCTGATGGTGCCTAAGTATTAATGCAAAGTTAGTTTAGAAGTGCTTTCAAATATTAACAGACTAGAAGCCCGGTGCATGAAATTTGTGCACAGGAGTGGGAAGTCCCTCAGCCTGGCCTACACCTTCTCACAATCCGGGACCTTTCAGGGGCTGTCCAACTGCCAGTTTAGGCCCAATCCCGCAGCAAATGGGGCCTAAATCGGCAGTCAGACATCCTTCTCATAATCCGGGACCACTGGCTCCTAACCACCTCTGCCTGCCTGCCTGATCGCCCCTAACCACTCCCTGGGGGGTGGGGCCAGCTGGGGCAAGGGGCCGTGGTGTCCTGGTCTCTGGTCGTTCCACCATTTTCGTCACTGGGCTTTTATTATATAGGACAGTTGCTAGACATGGGTGCATGCAGGTATGCACATATTAAGCAAATGTCCATGAGACATGATATTGGACATGAAAGAAGATGGCTGGATGGAATATGTATAGGGTCATGAATAGACATTTTGTACTCAGAAAAGCTTTGTGGTCCTAGCTCTTCCACTGCGTGACTGGGAAAGCTGCTCAACCTCTCCAGGCCTTGGTTTCTTCATCCCCTTCATGCAGCAGTTCTTAACCGCAGGCAATGTTGTGTCGGCTATTTTACTGTAGTTGGCAATCTCAGCCCCCTTAGTAATACTTCATAAATACTTATCTTATGCCCAATGCTAACCTTACTCTTCCTGAAACCAAAACTCATAAAACAAAGGTGTGGTCAGCACAAATGTATCTGATTTTCAAGCTGAAGCCACTCGCACTGACATGTAACCCAGTGGCATTGGGCTATCTAATCCCCCAAAATGTTTCTAGGCATGTGGTCCATATTCATCTGCTTCTTCTTGAGGCAAGGTGTTAATTTCATTTCGGAAAGTGCAGCACCATTTCCTACACAGTAATATCTTCAAAAAGGAGTGATTTGGACACTGATGGCCAGAATTGGTTTATGTCCTCTTTGATTTGTTTGTGTAATAAGACCAAAAGAGGACAAATTCATATATTTCGCACTGGCTGAAGCCAGGGCAAGGTTCTATTTACAGACCAGCAAGAACAATGTGGCAATTGTTCACTAGCAATGTGAATCATTTTCAGACAAGCCCCAGAAAATCTGGGATAAGTTAGGTGGAAGAGAGATAGATGACAGTATGTGGAAAACTTTATTTATGAATGTTAATAAAATTTCTATTGCAAAGGAAATACTAGAGACAAAACTGAAAAGCCCTACATTCAGAATGAAAATTATTCCAGCCTGACTATGATGCAAACACACCAAAGACCAATTCATTAAGTGCCAAGTTCAAGAGAGGGGTGGCAGGCTGGAGCTACAGCTGGAGAAGTTCCCCTCCTCATGGTTTTGCCAAGACACTGATCACACACTTTGCAAACCATGATAGATATGTTAGGGCAGATCTGACATCCTTGCTGAGCTTTCTCCATGTCAGCTTTCGCAGCATGGAAACAAGTTGGTATGGTTTAGACTAAAGGCAATCTTCTCCATTCACATTTGGGGCCTTTGACAGAGGCTTTCAAAATGGAAAACAAAAATGGCAGCCAGTCAAAATCAAGATTTTAATTTTTACAACATCTGGAGATCCCATTGAATTCAATGGCTGATAAAATCAGAATAGACTTGAACTTATTTGAATATGAACCTCCAAAAAAGTCTAGATACATACTGGTTATATTGTGGGTATGGACATCTTTAATTTGTTTGAGCTGTGGAAATGCTTTCAAAAAGTATGGTGAGAACATGACAAGGTAATGTTTTTTGAGAGCTTGATATGCTGACTTCTATTTTCCACAGGTTAGAATAAAATGTTTTCAAACATTGACTGAAAGGAGTACCACTTGTTAAAACCTTCCAGATCATGGAAAGAGCAAATATTTTAACTGTGTGCATGTAGCTGGGATTTGTGAAGAAGTGAATATCAGTTAAAGTGTCATCAAGGTAAGATGAGAATTTCAAAATTCTAATATTGATGAATATGCTGAGCATCAGGCTCATGTAAAAAGCCAGGTTTTCTTTAGTTGGTCTATCTTTATTCCATGATTATATCTTCCAGCTAATGTGATCAAAGGCTTTACACTCCTTGAGAGTAGAGAATGGTAGTCCAACAGTGTGACCTCAGAAGTCCAAAGTCTGGGTTCAAATCCCAGCTCTGATACTTGTGTGACTTTGGGAAACTTATTAAACTTCTCCAACCCTCAGCTTTCTCATCTGTTAAGTGGGGATAATAAGGCCACTGTTTTTAAAAATTAAGCATGTAAGAACTTTGGAAGAACAGCACCTAATTTATTAAATGTTCCATCAATTGTAGCTCTCCTTATCTAATTTCATCTTCACACAGAAGATGTGAAGTAAGTACTGTCTGCCCATCATTCTCATCTAACAGATGAGGAAAGTGAGGATTTGGTAGGTAGACTAACTTGCCCAAGATCAGACAGCTCTTAAGTGGTGGAGCCAGTACTAGAAACAACCTCTCTCTCAGGCCAAAGCTCAAGTTCACAAGCACTCCACATGTAATGTATTTGGGAAGATGACTATAAAAAGGAAGAGTTGGTCTTTCCTACTAAAGGACATAATAGCTACTAGGGCAGAGATTAGGAATGTTCTCAGTCCAGGAAGTAATTTCCATAACTTTCTAAGGGGCATCTACAACTCCTTTCCTCTCCCCAAATCACTTATAATGAAGGGGTACGATTACAAAGATGAACCCTATTAAAACTCTTATTCCCTCCATTTAAGGGGTCCCTTTCTTCACACTTAGCACAAAGCGTGATTATCTGAAAGCCATCTCCTTCCCCTTCCTCAACAAACTTCTCAAGAATGTGCCCCTCTCATCATGATGAGTCTGTCATTAGTAGAATTTTGCTGAGTATGAGTCAATTTCAGCTGACTTCTGGGTGAAGGCAGCAGCCTAGCAGGCTCTTGCCGAATTTTAAAATGAAGGTTGGTGCCTGGGTTCTATCTGTCTTTCTTCTGGAACCTTCTTTCCTCTGCCACTATCCTTGCCCCCACCACAACCTCTTCCCCCACTCCACCCTAGGAATCAAGGATCTATGAAATGTTCTTGGGTTAGTGAAAGGGTCCATTGTGGTAGCATATTCACATCATCAAATTTTACAGCTTTATTTTTCTCATCCAGTTTCCCCCTAATGAAGGCTCCCACTCTTTTAGTACAGATTAAAAGAGACCTTTTGCATTTTCAGGGATTGTACCATGGAAGTCCATAAAATCAGGACTGTTGAGCCTTCAAATTTTTGCTTTTGTTGCTCTTACTTCTTGACTTGAAAAACCTTCTTCTTTTCCCCTCCCTCACCCCTTTGCCATCTTAACCTGGCAAACTCTTACCACCACTCTAAAGACAGACAAATGGTACATCTTCACTGTAGTTTTCCTAGACCTCAGGATCATCTGTGTTCCCTGCAAGGCAAAGAATTACCTCTTTTGTATTCTTCAATTTCTTATAACCCTATAACACTTAGCATATTATTTCATAATCTTTCTCTATTCAGCACCTAGTATAGCCTTGAGATATAACAGACACTCAATGGGATTTACTGAGAAAAACCATTAAAGGTTAACAGATTTTGATTTACTACCTCCTAGTTATGTGATCATGGGCAAGACCTCTATGAACCTGTTTCTTCATCTGTAAAATAGACAGTATTGCTATAAGAAATAAATGAGAAAGGGATATAAACATTTTTGCTACATCGTGCACATTTAACAAATTTTTGTGTCTGTCTTAAATTTTGTGCATATTTTCTTCTCTTTATGCTCCTCTTCCACTCTCCCACCCCCACCCCATTTCTTCTTTTTAGAGCAGAGAATGTAGCTCTCAAAAGTTTGGATAAAGGAAAATTATAATGACAGGTTTTAGGAGAATCTAAGGGAGGGAGACATCTATTTGATGGAACACAATCCTGATATCAAGGGTGGTCTTAGTATGGAGATGAATGTAGGATTGCTAAGCCAATAGTCTTTAATAATTTCTTGCCCCACTGACAAAGTTATCACCATTATGGAATAGATATTTGCAGGCTATTTTGGCTTGGCTCCATTACATTTTTAATACTTCTAACATGGTTATTCTGATTCCACACTCACCAGAAAGCTGGGCCTGCTATCTGGGGAGAATTATGGATCATGCTGAATTTGATTCTTTCCAGACCCCTATGACTGTGATATTTCATGATCAAAAAATGGCATGGCTTTTGATTATGATCTGGCTGTGAGGAGAAAACCTCTAGTCTTAGAGTCAAAAAGACTCTTCTCACATACATTCATCAGCTTCCTGGAGTCTACCACATTCATATATATTTTATCGTAGCATGAGACAATATGACAGAGCTTAAAAACATGCACAAAAATAATGTCCTGCATTTTCAATGAGAGGTCCAGAACACTCCAGGCTTCATTCAGCTTTCCCCCCCACGGTTCCTATAGATTTCAAGGGCATTCTTTGACATCCTAGTTTTCCAACAGTAAGGACCCTAACCTCAGTTTTAACTTGATCCTCTTCTAAGTCTCCAAGAGGAAAGTCAGAAAGCCAAGGCAAAAGGCATAAGTGTATTTGGTCTTGATGGATTCTTGCTTTTACCACTGGAGAGAAATAGACCTTGTCAGTAACATGCTCAGTCACAATCTCTAAGTCCTCCTAACGATTCCAGTTTAAATGTTTGTATAGATGAATCTCTGGTACTATTCCATTAATGTGACTTACAGTAAGACATAAAAATGTAGCTTTTCATTAATTAATATAGAACTTAATTAGCCATGGGGAAAAAGTCAGCTCTTAAGAAAAATAATATTGGAGTTACAAAGCACATGTGAAGGTGTCTGGATAGGAAGTCTAAAGTCTAAAATATTTTCTTGTTTTAAATTTCTTTTGAACAGAAGTCAACTCACATCACAAAACTATTCTTGTTCATACATATAATGATACTGTAAACACAAGTTTTAAAAAGAGCTTTAAGGCAATAGTCACAGACAACCAAATTGTAACCATTATGTTTACCATCTTGGCCCATGTCCCACGCTCCACATGTTTTTGGCATCGGTTTTTTGATTCAACAATAAGGGCTCAAATATGAAGATTCCTTTTTGTTGCTATTCCAAATGCATGAGAGAACAAATCCATTTATCTAAATATGAATTTGAAACTCTTTGGAGTATGGTGACCATATGAACCAACCCTCAGAAAGTAAAAAAATATATATATTGTAAAAAAATATATATATTAATTTCCCTTTCTGTTGGAACACTTTAGGTTTCTGACATGAAAAACGAATCCTGTTAAGTGGTAATTTACAGTGTCTACTTATTCCTTAAATGTGGAAAATCCACAGGGCTAGAGATTGGAAATGAATGAAGAGAGTACCTTGGGTAAAATAATATACACAGCTAATCCTCATCATTAACTCTGTATCATTCTCCCCCACCCCAAATTACCCCCACCCCACTTCCTCACTTCCTCACCTTCCAATCCATCCACTCCACCACCGAGCTACTCAATTAAATGAGGAATATCCAGCAGTGTTTGCTACAAGAATTTGAATTGCAGCAAACAGACTTGGTCTATTTATAAGAAATGAGCCTTCTACTGTGGTTTCATCTCATTCATTCCAGGATTCCATGAAGATTTCCTGCCTTTGCTATATGGTGCTCTTCACACAGTGAGAAGGAAGGAAGGGACTATGGACCAAGGACAGTATTTATGGAAGGCCTGCAGGCCAATAGCAGGAAGGCTCCATCTGAAATCTAAGAAGACAGCAATCCCATAAGGTTCTTTACTTCTCTCATTGGGAAAATACTCATAATAATCTTTCTTTTGAGAGCAACATTCTAAATACTGCTGCTCTCTTTTTGCTTGGAAAACTGTTTTTTTAAATTTAGATGTAAAAAAAATAAAATATACTGCCCTCCTATTATATTTGTTTTCCCAAGAAGTTGAGGGTTCATCACTTGCCAGCCACTGGAAACTTAAGTCTTCTCTCAAACAATGAAATGTCTGCTGTTCCCCCAATTACTTGATAAGTTTAAAATGAGCAAACACAGAGGGGAAAATGCAGGTCGGTGGAAATTGGAATACATGAGGTCAGGTTGTGGCTTTCTGAGCAAGTCTTGCTTACAAGTTTTCAAAAAAATGTATATTTGGGTATTTTCCTAATGTGATTAAATAATTGCCTTCCCTTCTTTCCTTCACTGACAAACTATATGACGAGGAGTCAATGTTTAAAACTCACTCCAGCCCCACGGTTCTTTAAGTTAGCCTTTAAGTAAATCCATTTCATTGCAAAATTCCATAGTGGGACATTAGAATGTTTACTCCATCCAAAGTTTCTTTAAAATTTGAATATAGAATTTAAATACTTAATCTCATACACAAATATGCCAATTTTAATTTAAAGTCTTTTATCATATAAATATTTATATAGTGTAATATATATTATTTTAACATCATTTTATACACAAAACAGTAATTTAAAAACAATTCTTTATAGAAAATTTGAAAAATGCAGGGAAAAAAAATTTAAAGGGCTATATACTCTTACTCCCAAACACAATTAGTATTAATATTTGAGGATATGTCCCTCCAAATTTTTTTTATTTTGCATATTGCTTTTCTTATAATTATAATGACAGAATGCTTGAAATTTTGTATCTTGCTATCTCTTCTTTAATATTATATACAGTTTGTTTGATGGTAATCTATTATTCAGACATAACTACTTTGGGGTTTGGTAATTGTCTTTAGTTTTTTATTTTTAATGCTATCTTGGGAACAAACATAATTTCAGACAAATAAAAGTGCCATAGCAACTATTCCAGTGACTGGGAAGAACATCTGGGTTTTTATTTCTTTGGGCAAATTGGAACTCAGAAGCACATGGCTAGTAGATCTTGAAGCATCTCACTTTAGATCTCTGGCAAAACGACCTTCTTTGGGCCCTGCACATCCACAAGGGAGACTGTATCTCTAATGGTAACCACTGCAAAATGAATATGAACAAAAAGTTTCAGTCTATTGGACCAAGATTTATCATGCCCTGGGAGTCTTTACCTACACAGCACTAATATTTACTTACCACAACATTAAGACTACTAATAAGATTTTCCATTTCTATGACACCTTCCAGGTTGTCTTAACATCTTGAATGTTCAACAAATTTTATTGAAGGATGAGTAGCTCCATATTAACAAATCACTTCTTTGATAGATAAGTTGATGGATAAAAGAACATTTCTGGGCCTATGTCTGCTAATTTCAAGTCACAGAAGAAGTGGACAAGAACAACTTATCTTCACCATTTCCAAGTATAGCCACCTATCCTCTGCTTGAGACTTGCTGACTTGAAGAACCTGGAAGATCTTATGGAAATGCTCTTGGAGGATCTTGATCCTCAGGAGAGAGTTCCTAAGGGATTTTACATAAGTCTTATGAGGTATATAGGGTAAAAATAAGAGGCTAGTGTTTGCATATCATCTAGAAATTACTGAAGGACGGAGGTCTATTATAGCACCCCAGTCAACAGAGCATGAAGTGGTTGCAGTATCATATAGTGTTTGTGTGAAGAAAAAAGTGTGGGCACCCCAATCCACTTCCCCCATGAAACTCTGAGATGTGGAAGAGGAACTAGCTGTTCCTGAGCCAAGAGACCGCCAGAAAAACCTAGAAGGCACTTCAGGTAAAAAAAAGAAAAAAAAACACAAAAAAGGAAGGAAGGAAGGAAGGGAGGGAGGAAGGGAGGATGGGAGGAAGGAAGAGAGGATGTTGGCCCATCATCCACTACTGGGTACAGCTGAGGGAGATTAATCTTCCTCTCTGACACTCTGAGAGAGATATGGAGTAAAGTGGAAAGTCTCCACAAGAAATTACAACTACTATATCAGCAGCCTCTCAAAAGAAAAGTAGAGACAAAGTTAAGAAAAAAACAAAAAGGGGTAAAATAGAAACAAGTAACAAGGGACCAAAATGTAATCAATATACTTATTTATTCATTACACCCATATAAAAAAAAGGATGCCTTCTCATTCAAAGAACAAGAGATTATCGGAGCAGAAGATTAAATAGGTGAGTTAAAAAATAGAATGTGGAACTAAGAAACAAAGAGAGAAAACTAAGATGGTTCATCCAGAAAATAAGAACAGATTAAGCTGTGATCATGAAATTATCAAAGAAATAATACAAGAAAACTTCCAGATTGAAGGAGCCTATGAATATCCAGCTAACAAAATGAATGACAAAAAATTCACACAAGGACACATCACTGATAAGTATTCAGCCATCAGTTATAAAAAGACTATTTTAAAAGTTTCTGGAGAGGAAAGAAAATAAAATCAGAAGATTAAAAAATTAAAATGACATTAGGCATCTCAACAGCAACTCTGAAAGACAGATGATAATGAGAGACACTTGAC